CGAGTTTTGAACTCGGGTCTCTCCGGTCAGAGGCGAACGTCCTAACCATTGACCCACGAGCTCACAGTCTTGCGAGTAAATCCCCGATCTAAGAAAGAGCGGTCTCGGTCACCATAATTTTCATTTGCCTGACGTTTCGAAGACAGACAAGTTTCCGCCGTCGGAGACAAGTGTCGTACCGCGACTCACAGTATTCACAGGTAGCTGACAAACAGAGCTAATGGGGAGTTGTGAATTTTGCGGTAGGGAGGGGTGGTGGTTTGTGGCGGTTAGGGCCCAGGGTGGTTAGTGACAGGTAACAGCCGCCCGTTGGGTGTTTCTTCTTCGTCCGTTTGCAGCTGCCATCAGTCTAGGTTACATAGGGGTTTGGGAGGGCTACTCAATTCGTACTAGTGCCTGCAAGTTACAGAGGTAACGCTGGGGTCCGTCCGGCAGGGCCGGATGTTGGTGAGGCTCCGAGTGTGTCCACCGCCGACCGATTCATGTTAGGCCTGTGTTAACGTTTGCGACCTCGTTCGTTGAGCTGTGCTCGGAGGGCTTGGTAAGCTGTGGGGAGCGCCACACAACGGTTGATGGAGGTTATCCCCATCTGCCAGGATTCCATTGTTTCTCTGACTATGCGTTCATTTCCTCGGACGAGAATTTCTGCATTTTGAAAGGCAAACGCGTGTTCTGAGTCTACACAATGTTCTGCCACCAAGGACAGTTGATTCATCGTTCTCCCTGCCCTCATGTGTTCGGCCACTCGGGTCTGCAACCGTTTGCCTGTCTCTCCAAGAAAGTCAGCCGTAGAGGAGTTACATTTGATCCCGTAGAAGATGTTGGTGATTTCGCCTCGTGGCAGGGATGCCTTAAGTCTCATGAGTGCTGTGAGGCGCAGTAAGACACTTACCCCCGACGACTATAACTTGTCTGTTTTTGAAACGTCAGAAAAATTACAATTATAGTTCCCGAGATCGCACGTAAGCCACCACCCTTTTTGTCCAGACAGACAGACATCCTGAGGTCACGCCGGACATAGGACGCAACAGGCCAGTCCGGTGCATACAGAATGGGCCAGGTCACACGACCTTGAACGGCAGAAACCATGCGAGGAAGCAAAGGCGTTGTGCGCATACGAGAGCACTGTCATGCTGAGGTCAGGCCTGGCCAAGAGCAAAGCGCACGCATGTCCACTCGTGGTGAGCCAATGTGGAGCAATGACTACTGGCCCTTTAATATGTTGCCACCGCTGAAGGCGCCCACTCTGTTGCTGGAGACGCTACCGACGACACCAGATTCTCTTGCTAGTGTTGGCCGAGACGAGCTACCGACGACAGATGACAACGCCGATGTAGAAGCAGAACTAGTAACAGTAAAGTATTATCTGCTATCCTGTTCTGCCTTCTTTTCCCAACAGGTAACTGTGGGACATAACCGGTGTTGATGCAGGAAAACACTCGGTTATAACACTTTCCAACATAGTCCATCGCGCTGGAATTACATTTGATTCGGTAGATGACGTAAGCTGTTTCATCCCGGGGCAGAGGGGCCTTTGGCCTCATGACTAGATGCCAATCCCCAGTGGTTTTCGTAGACGGGAGACTACCTTGGAAACGCCGTCAATGTAAGGCAGTGCATGCCATAATTTTGATGGGTCGTTTGTCGGAATTCGGTACGATGGAGACTGCCCGCCGCGTTCGATAAAGTTTCGAGGATAATCGTTGGCCATGAAGAGGCGCTGGGGGTATTACATTTCAGACTTCCGGTCATGCGGCTCAATGCAATGTGTTTCTGCCCATTTGTGGCATGTTGGGTGCTTGCTATAGTAACTCAGGATTTGGCGCGTATTGGTGGCCTTCCTATACCCAATCGTTCTGAGGAACTGGGATGTTCATCCGATCTATGTGATTGGGGCCTTCAGGCGCGTAATTGAGTGATGCCAAGCTGTCGCTTAGTGACCTTAGACATATGAGCTAAGCGACAGCCTGAGATCACTCAAGTACGTGCCTCAAGGCACCTCCGGGACAAGTATATGCCCTCATCAGATAAATGGGACGAATACCCCAGTTCCATTATACTCACTATTACAACCGACAAAGCAACGAGCCCGGCGTGCAATGGAACTGAATATCTAATAAGAGCGCTTTTTAAAGAGGTAGCCTAATATAGAAAATTTTGTTATTAACCTTTGGGATAGCAATATTGGACTTCTATTGCGCATGTTCCTTTCTCGACAGTGGGGCTTGGTGTTTTGAGGCATTTCTAAATATTGCCCACACGGCCGCCTTCAAAAGAACTAATATCCAGGGACTCATTTCTTCGGCAAATACTCTAGACGTTTATCTTATTTTAAAGGTATTTAGGTAAATGTCGAGCGGAATCTCGATAGATGGACGAAAATATGAAGTCACTGAAAACAATAGAAAATATACCAGAATTAAAAGGACGATGTTAAATAAATAGTTATCTGTTAATGGTTATATTTATATGCCGAAAGATTCGGGGTCAAGATACGTTATCGCGTTCATCATCTCCCAAAGGTAAGGAAGAAGAAGAGGGGGTGGATTCATGGACTAAATTATATTTGAACTGACAATTCAAGAACCTCCTCGCACCCATCTTCAGAGGTTTGTGGTAGCTACGTCTCGTGGTCTTGATTTAGCCAGCCTTGCCGTCTGCCTCAAATTATATCGGTGTTGGACGTGAGAACTTTGACCTGCCTGTTCGTTACCGACCACATTTGGTCTCCCGGAGGTTGACTGCTGGTGGACTTGGGTGACCTTCGTCTCCTCTGCGGTCAGCGTAGTTGTAGGCGAGTCAGTATGCT